AGAAAGGCAGCTTGGCACCAATCCTACCATCGGTCCAACGTCATACAACCCGAGCTCTCAACGTCCGAGTCGGTAGTTTCAACCCATGCCTAGCCTCGATTGCCAAACTGGTATTTCACATCATATCCCCATTGGAAGTTCAAAGGCCCTACTAAGGCTCTAGACCTTGTGAGAACACTCCGATTCGGGTATTGTTTGCAATATAGAGGACCTTCTTGCCTTCTTGGTGGTGCATCACTACTCCCAAGTCGAGAAAGCACGATGAACCCAAAGCTCAAGTCCAAAAATTCAAGATATGAAGTGTCTTGGATTACAGTCAAGAATATAGTACAAAGAGGTCGTGCAATCTGTATGGTTTTACAATTCTTCAAGCATCGAGAGGAGCTGTGCCAGCGTCATAGCCAATGTGTCCCATCATTCCACTTCGAATGAAGAATCCTCCAAATAGGTAGATACCCGTGTCTCGAATGATTTCCCAAAGGCCGTCCGCAAGTAGATTGTTCAGAGCTCTTCCCGAGTTTCCAGTAACAGCATCTGTCCTTTTTCTTCGAAGCGCAACATATCGTTCAAAAAGCTCGTCGGAAGGTGAATGTTCAGCGAGGAGTCGAGCAAGAATGATCGCACTCTCCGACGCCATTTGAGCACCCTGTTAAATCGTTTAGAACTGGGTCAAGACTCAAAGGAAAAGGAAAAACGAACCTGGCCCCCAATTGGTGTAGTAGCATGTGATGCATCACCACAGAGCACCACTCTTCCTCTATGCCACTTTTGAATTGGCGGTCGGTCGTACAGGCCAACGGGGAACGCTCTGATTGGCTTGGAAATAAGGAGTGAGGGGAACGTCGCCTTCCACCCTTCAATTCTACCTTCTACCATCTTTGTAAACTGCTCAGTGGAATGGTCACTCTTGTTCCAACCTGCTTCTCCACCCGCAGGATCCTTGGATGGGAATACATTAAACCTGAGTTAGACGAGGTCTTGGATCAGTATCGTTCGATGACCGAATAGAATAATACCTACCAGCCCCAAATGCCATCAGGAGAACAAGGATAGCATCCAAAAACGGTTCCGTGACCAGTCCAGGCATGGAAACCCGACTTGATACCCGCATCGTTCATATCTTCAGGGGTGACTTTGGTTAGACCCAAGATAACACTTGCACCTGTAAATCGTGGACTCGAGTCGTCTCCGAGTACATAGGTGCGTGTGACGGAGTGGATGCCATCGCATCCAATCAATAAGTCCGCCGTCAGTGTCTGACCATTCTCAAAGTGAGCCGTAACTATGTTATCCTTCTCTTCAATCTTTGTGAGACGCATATTATAGCGCATGTCGA